TACATATAATAGTGATACTAACTCAAAATTGCTTTTTTCACAACATGGTCCGTTTCTATTGTCCACACCCCATATGTGCTGAAGAAAGATATTTTATTATTATTGGAATAATAATTAATAGTAAATGAATTTATCTGGTAGAATATGATGGAGGTGTTACACAATCATCAATTGCTTACTTTTGAAAAATTAATAATCCTTAAATGGCAATTTTAATACCTGAGCTTTTAGTTGAAATATTTAAATTTCTTGATGAAAGTGATTACAGAACACTATATTCTTGCATTCTTGTTAATAAACAATGGCATAATATCAATATTCCAACTTTATGGAGAAATCCATTTTATTGTAATGGTAGCACCAAAATATTATTTAATTGCTTGCTGATAAAAGACGGGGATTTCTTTAGAAGAAATGGCATAGAGTTAACTTTTGGATTATTGGAAAGACCAACATTACATAATTATGCTAAATTTACAACTGAACTGAATCTTCGGGTTTTTGTTTGTAAATTAAAAAATTTGTTTGATAATTTTGATAATTGTAATTATGTAGCAAAAAAATTATTAGATTTTATCTTAGATAATTCAAGTTTCATCAGAACAATTAGATGTGATCTTGCTATTGATGCTGAATTTGTCAAGAAATTAGCAAATACATGTAAAAATATTCAAGTTTTAAGAATAAATGATAGTTATGTACATAATAGTAAAGTTGATTATGGATTAACGCAACTAATTTTATCACAAAATCAAATTAAAAGATTATCAATTTATTCACACAAAAATTTTTCAGTTGATTTAAATAATTCAATATTAAAACATGCACATTCAATTAGCCATTATGATAGGAGGGGAAGGAATAATTTAGATTCTATATTGTTACCAAAATTGCTAAATTTGAAGACTTTAGCAATAACTGATGATGATAGAACTTCAAATACAATGAAAATTTTAAAATCTATTTTATTCTCAAAGATTGAAACTATAGAATTAGCTTTTTATAATCAGCCAATTCTGTTAGATTTATCAACTTTTGTAAAAATCAATGGAAATACTCTTAAGGATTTGAAGATTTATGGTATTCCAAAGGATCTGGAATTTTTGGAAGAACTTTTTCAAACAATTGAACAAAATTGCCACAATTTAGAAATTTTGAGAATATTTTACAACAATGGATTAATTCAACAACTACTTAAATTATTTATTACATGTACTAAATTAAAAACCATTAGCTTGGTAAATAGATGGAACAAGGTATTAAATGGTGATAAAATATTGTCAATTATAAATCAAACATCACCAAGGAATTTAAATAAATTAACTTTTATGGATAAAGTTACAATTTCTGATAATTCATTGAAGGCTTTAATGAATAATTGGAAAGGACCTAAACCTTTTACAATAGAATTTCTTGGAAGCTATACATCTTTTGAAATAAATGAACTAGAAAATTTATTAAAAAAATATAAAGATTTAGGATTTTTAAAATAAAAATAAAAAAATTTATTTAATTATGCAACGTTACACCAAAAACCATATATTTTTCAAATAAATTTTTTTTTTTAACAAAAAAAAAAATGCTTTTACCTATAGGAAATCTTAAAAAATTACTGAATTCTCCAAATAATAAAAGTCTCGATAAAGACATTATATTAAAATATATTAACAAACTTTTAAATGATTTTACAAATCTTTTAAAAGATTCTGATTCTTATGATGTTGAAATTGAAGTTGGAAAAGATCAAGACATTAAAACGTTCAGAGCTCATTCAAACATTTTAAAAACTAGATCTTCATATTTTCATGCTGCTTTATCCAGTAGTTGGCTCAAGAGATCTGATAATGGCACTTTTTTTTTTGAAAAGAAAAATATTTCTCCAAAAATATTTGCAATTATTTTAGAGTAAGTGAACTAATTTTATCAATATTATCAATTAAATATTAAAAAATTTTATCATTAACAAAATGAATTTGTATTAAAAGATATTTTTATAATGGGCTTGTTCTGACAAATAATATTGATCCCAAAGATATCCTTGAACTTTTAGAAGCATGTGATGAGCTATGTGTGCATGAATTATTTGATGATTTACAAGAATATTTAATAAAAAAACATGAAGGATGGATTAAGCTAAATATAATTCATACTTATAAAGTTTCATTACAACATGATCCATTTTCTGCACTTCAACATTTTTGTGGTAAAATAATTTGTAATGATCCAAAATTATTTTTTGAATCAAATGATTTTGCAACTATTGATAAATCTATGTTTATATCAATATTAAAAAAAGATGATTTGGATTTTGAAGAAATAGGCATTTGGAATAATGTTATTAAATGGGGAATTGTTCAAAGTCTTGAAATGGACAAGAAAAATGTTTCAGAATGGAGTAATGATGATTTTGTCAATGTAAGACTAGCATTGGGTGATATACTTCCATTGATAAGATTTTGTGGAATTTCTTTTGATGATTTTCATGACCAAATTAAACCTTATGAAAAAATCTTTGATGATGATCTGTTCAATGATATTCAACAAAAATTCATAACAGATAACTGGAAATCTAACTCAATTGTAATTGTTCAAAATGATCCAAAACCAGAAAGTTCATTATTAGACCTGAGGTCATTCTCACTAATTTCAAGTTGGATTGATTATAAAAAAAGAATATACAATCATAACAATATACCATATAAGTTTAATTTGATACTTCGTGGATCCAAAGATGGATATTCCAATGCAGTTTTTAATAAATTGACCAAGTATATTAAAAATACAGTGATAGTTATTAAAATTAAAGGAACAGGGGAATTGCTTGGCGGGTATAATCCAATGAGTTGGAATATACGAAATAAATCCTTGACTGATAACTATCCTATTAAAACAGATAAAAATTTTATTTTTAAAATTGGTTATAATAATATTAATAATAATTATCATCGTCATAATATAGTGTTGAGTAGATCTCAACATTCTAAATATTCATTATATCATCATGGTAAAAAAAAAATTAGCATCAAGAATAATTATCACCAAAGAGGAAATGAGCAACCTCATGAAGTCGTTTTTGATTTCTGTGATTTAAGACTACAAAATAATTTAGAAAATAAACCTTATTGCTATTATTTTTACTCATATAATTATGAAAAAGATTTGGGGTTCTGGGATGACACTATATTGGAATTATTAGATTATGAAGTATACCAGGTTGTAGGAAAAAAATAGACAATTGTAAAAAATAATAAAACATGTATTATTATTTTGTATTTTATAAATATTACAAGCCGGTGACACTTTATTTGAGATTTAATCTTGAAATATCAAAATTTGAAAATATTTTTGAGCACCTTTGATGTTGAACTAACCAACCATCTTTGTCAAAAAATATTCCTTCCTTTTCTAATAATTTAAACTTTCTCTTTATATTTATATTATTAATGTTAGTGTCGTCATCGTTGTCGTTGTTGTTGTTAAACCATTCACCATTAAATCCACCAATAAAAAAATTTGAAGCTATAACTCTATGACATGGTATTGGTAAAGGCGCAAAAGGATTGTTTTTTAATGCACCGCCCACTGCTCTTGGTGAAGATGAAATTGAATTTGCTATCAATTTATATGTTGATACGTATCCTTTAATCCAACCAAAATAATTTTAATGAGTAATCAATGAATTAAATTAATCAACTTTAATGGATTTTACCTTTTGGGATCTTTATATCACAACAATATTAAATATTTTAAGAAATGAAAATTAATAAACAAAATTAAAAAAAGCAAATTAATTGAAAAATGATATGTAGTTGAAAATACCTGTGAACATAAATCGTAAACTTTGAATTGGAAATTAGTTATTGGTTTATTTGTCTTGAAATTAATTGAATTGATTCGCCCATGTTCTGTTACAGGATAATAAATCTGATTAGATACTAATAATTTAGCATTGTCACCTTCTTCATTGTTATTTTCATTGTTTTCGTTCGTAGGAAAATATGGTGATGTGTTTAGTATTGACATTTTTTAAGATTTATTTCAAAAGGTGAAATGTTTCACTACATTATGCATGTGATTTAAAAAAGGAAATTTAATAATTATATGATACGATAATCAAAAGTTGTTTAAAAAAAAAAATGCAAACTTTATCAGATTTTTTATATGAATACGGTTTAGAATTAAAACCACACCTTACAAAAAACCGGATACTCAAAGTTCTTCAACCACTTCCTAAAGGATTTACTTTAATACCATCGTTCCCACTTGCATGTTTTCCAAATAATAATGAAGTTTCAAAAATAAGATGTGATCAATGTTTAGGAATTAAACCATTAAAAACTTGTTCAAAATGTCATAAAATTTTTTATTGCAGTTCCGAGTGTCAAACACTTTCATGGAAATATCATCATAAAAAACTTTGTAGTATTTATGCAAACGTTGAGCAAGGAACAAACGTTGATGATGATAATGACGAAAAGATGGAAAAAGAAATGTTGAGAAGAGTTTCATTGATAATTTCAAATTATCTTGAAAATCTAAAAAAAAAAGACTTTAGCAAAGTGAAAACAATAGATGAAAGAACACTGATAAACAACATACTTTGTGAGACATTTTTGAGTTTGATGACACATCGTGATGAACAACCTCAAACTAAACTTGAAAATTATCGAAAGACTGCATCTAAAGTCTTTGCTGAATTGAAGTTAACCAATTTATCAGAAGATGACTTAATCAATTTTTTGTGCAAATTTTATTGCAATAATTTTTCTATTCATGATTATCAAATATTTACCTTTGGCGATGGAACGTATCCATTTTTATAAATTTAACTCCACTCAAATATATTTATAATTATATATTATTTCCTTCATCACAATCTACTTATTTCCTTTTTTCTCTAAAATAATGATAACATAGATATCCTATTGGAGCATTAATTAATCATTCTTGTCGGCCAAATTCAATAGTTATGTATGATGGTGAAGTACAACTAATCAGGACTATAGAGGATATCAGCAAAGGGGAAGAAATCACCATATCATATAATGATATTGCAATAGATAAAAAATCCAGACAAAGAATTTTGAGAGAAAAACATTTTTTTAGATGTAAATGTCTGAGATGTTCATTTGAACCTGATGATGATGATGTTGGTGATGATGAAACAAATAAATATAGGAGAAAAGTGTTGACAAAAATTGATTTAATATTGGAAGCTGGACAAATAATTGAAGAAACTGATGATAATAGGGAAATTTTAAAAAACTGGTTAATGTTACAACTTGCAAAGGATATCAATCTGAATTTGTCATCATTGTCATCATCATCAGAAGTGGCCTTTAATTCAATAATTTCATCAGCATTATCATTAATTTTACCACATATTAGAAATGATACATCTAAAGATGAATACGTGAAATCTCTTGATGAATTCTTGACTAATTTACCATTGCCAGATTCCCTGACTCATAATCCATACTCGAAATTAGCACTTTCAGTTTCAACTCAAACATTTTTTGAATTTATTGATTCACTTGAATGGAATAAAGCATCAATAATAGGAAAATTCATATTGGCTATTTATCTTTTGATTTATCCAAGATTTCACCCAGTAATTGGATTGCATTTATTTACATTGGGCAAATGTATTTGGAATGATTCAACCAACAACAATGAGAAGGTAAAACAAACTGTTGAAATATTACAATTAGCAAAAAGAGTATTTGAAATTACTCATGGTGTAGGGGATAAAAATAAGGAAATGATTTATGAGGTGGATGAATTGCTTATAATTGCACAAAATGAATTAAAAAAAAATTAAAGTTATGTATATAAAAGAATATTATATTTTAGGTGATCTAACAAGTATTTTGATGCTAAAATCAATTAATAATAATGATAATAATTATTAGTGATGTTTATTTTTTTAAAAAACAAAAATAATATATTTTAATTGCTCACAAAACTATTTGATACACAAACAACAAATCTTAGACAAAATCCAATATAGTTGATACATAATTTCTTTAAAAATTATCAGATATATAATTAAATTTCTCCACAAAAAAAAGGAAAGGTTGGAATATTTACTCGACCAATTGGACATGGAAAACTTGCTGGATTATAATTACCCCGATACGAGTGAATTCGGAGATTTGGCGTAGTTTGAAGTACACGTGATACACGAATGTGGCGTATGAGATACTATATATGAAAAAAATCGTGACTCTCTATAAAGTTTTGAAATTCATTATCAATACATATTTTCTTAGCATTATCTATTCGAAGTATATGAAAAAACTTGTGACTCGACACCCCCGTAGGACAATATTGAAATACGCGTATATACAAGATAACCCATACATATTAAAAAATTTAATACCAATGTTAACACCCTCATACTAGTTTACATGTTGCATGCAGAGTTTATAATTTGCACGTACTTTGAAATATGTGAAGTGGGTACAAAAAAATACCATATACAATCTTACTGGATCAAAACTTGTTTTTACGTAGAGGAATGATGATGTAGATAAAAATGAACGATTGTTAATATTTTTTCCTCCATTTTCTATTTTGTTAGCTGAATAATTAAAATGAATCTAGCTAATTATGCATCCAAAAATTTCCCATATCTGATTGGCCAATTTCGATTTCATTAAAATTTAATATTTATTAAATTAAATATTGAAATTGATAGAAATGAAATTATTTGAATAAAATAAATAACGAATTAAATAAATTATTAAAAACGATTAATTAATTAATTAACAATATTGTTTTATCATTATTATATTATATGATTTTGATGATATGAGTGATAAATATAAGGTAGGTGCCATTATTTTACTCAACATCCACCGATCTTCCTATTAATTAAAAAAAAAAAACGAAAATTAATATTTTTTTCCCGAAAATAATAATAATAATATGGAATAATACTTACGGCCTATTTATTATTTAAAACAAAAAAAATCATTAATCAATAGATAATAAATATATTTTCAAAAAACAATTATAATAATGATGATGATGAATGATACTTACCCCCTATTTATTATTATTATTATTATTTAAAATAAATAAATAAGTAAAAAACGAAAATTAGCAACCCCAAAAAATTAATAAGTATTAATTACTATAATAATAATATTGAATGATACTTACAACCACCTGTTTATTATTTAAAACAAAAAAATCAATAATCAATAAATAATATATTTTCAAAAAAAAACAATAAATATTTAGTTATAATAATGATGAAACTTCTGGCAGAGGATATATACTTACAGCAATATATGGGTGGCATCCAACAACCTATTTATTATTTAAAACAAAAAAATCAATAATCAATAAACATTTAGTTATAATAACAATGATAAATGATATTTACATTGTGGTCTAACAGAACTATCGTCAGGAACCGAACTATACTCAGGTTCAACTGGTGATGCTAAAGTAGCAGCAGCAAAAATAATCAAGAAGAGAAGGAAAATATTGAATTGCATTTTTACTTTTTGGTTAATCGTTGTTGTAGTTTTTGTTGTTGATTTTCTTAAAGAATATTGATTTTTAACTTTTTCAAATCAACCAAGGATATGTTATTTTTATAAGAAAAAATTAGATATGATATCGACATATGATATTAATGGATCTGGTTTTCTCGGCAACACGCGACGCGTAATTTTATTGTCTTTGCATATATTATTAGTTGTTTGTTAAATGTCACTCGGGGAAACGTCCAGGTACGGTTTTTCATAATTAATATTGATACAATGAAAAAATTTTTATAACTTATTTGTTACACGTGAATGAATAGAATTTAATATTAATAATATATACACAAAAAAAAAATTTTGAATACCACATGTGGACGATCAAAAAAAAAAAAAAAAGCGAAAATGAACTTTTGTGGGGGTCATTATTCAATAATAGAGATGTGCCATTCATAGTAACCGTGATTTTTTTTCGCCCATAGTGCGCATAGTTTATATATATCATAGGGAGGGAAATATCATAAATGCGCATATAATAATAAGAAAGTAAATGGCATATTTTAATTTTTTTTTTAGAAATGTTTATTGAAGTAAATGTCTATAAAAAATATACTTAAAACCTTATTATTATGCGTAACACACTATGCGCGGCACATCTCTATTCAATAATGAATTAATACATACTTTTTACTAATCGACTATCAATAAAAATTAGATCAAATTATAATCATTATTTTCAAAGAATATAGTGGCATCAACAACTCATTATGGGTTCTTGAACCCGAACTATCTTTTTGTTATCACGGAACCCATATATTTGGAAATTTTAATGCACAAAAGATAAATCTTGAATAAAAAAGCAATTAGCATAAATTCAAAATATTGATGTTTTTGCCTATTTCTTTCTATGTCTTTCCTTCAGATCTAAAAAAAAGTCAAGGAATTTCTCATAAAGAATTACTCCGCTCTATACATTATTATTATTATTATGGCTAACTGTCATACACACAAAATTCAGTTATCTGATTGATTATGTGAAGAGAGATCAAATTGAATTTCTCCCTTTACATCAATACAATTAGAAAAGACACTCAACATCTCATAACTGGATCTAAGAAAAATAAGGTCAAATATATTTACATACTTTCTTCCAAAAGGAATTTATTGGCGGCAAGTATGCACACATATTTGAAAAAAAAATCACAGAAGTTAAAACATAATTACAGAATGTCTGCAACGCAAAAATTTTTTTGTAATAATTGCAGAATCAGCTCATGCTAATCAAATCTGGAAATATACCACAGATAATTTATAAATTAGGGCGCAGTCAAATTTCGATCACTGGTCACTAGCATGGTAACATGGTGCATTGATGAATCATTTGCAGAAATAGCTTGATCTATCAAATTTATTAGAAATAATATGGTTTTATCAATTAAGATAAGTGTATATTTATTTTTGAAATTTCAACAATTACATAATCAATAATTTTGAAATGATTGACAAAAATGTTTTAACAGCTCTTATTGTTTCTCTACCAATACTAAAAATAGATCATAAATTTTTCTTGCTCCTTCTTTCTTTTTTTCAAAGCATCATTGACAATATCATTGGGGATTTGTTTTCAGATATCATCAATCATTAACAAGAGCCAGACATGCACATTCTCCATGATTCAAATTTCTGTAATGATTGAAATATTTTTTTATAGCTACACCAAGATTGTAATAACTTCTATGTTTGTAATTTCATGTTTAGATTCGGCGTGTGAAATTAGAAAAACAATTCACAAATTGAATTTAAGCCCAAACAACTAAGTCAAAGCCAAGATGAAAAAAGGAATTACTTGAACATTCTGTATGGAGGCAATTAATATGACACTATAAATTTAATATCACAATCGCATTATAACTGTAATACAAATGTTCATATAATTAAAAAATATAACTAATTATTACCTAATCTAATATTATTAATCAATTTTTTTCACTTGACTAAAAAAATCAAAAATTAAGTAAACTATAAATTATCCTCCCATGGATCCTCCTGATTTTCTTCACCTTCAACGACCTCATTACCACCATTAACCTCATTACCACCATTAACCCCATCATCATCATCATCAATTATGATTGGTTGATGAACTTTCAATTGAAACATATACTTGTAATCATTAGGTATTAATGAACGATCCTTTGATCCAAATATATATCTTTGACCAAAAGACCATCTAGTTCTCACTATGATTTATAATGAATTTAGAAAAATTAAATATTTTCATATGTTATATATACATACAATTTATATAATTTATACAATATGTATACATATTTAAAAGAAACTTACAACATGTTAATCGATAATTGCTTCCATCTGCAATAAGATTTTCTCTTCTTGATATTATAAATGAAATCATTACTTTCTAAATTAATTGATAGAAACTTAGTTTTTCCATTTGTTTTTCATTGTAAACGAATTTTTTAATGTTATTATGGCATTATTAATTAATACTTTTATTTCTTCTTGTAAAGCAACATCTTCATAATATACTTCAGTGGTAATCAAATCACTGAAAAAAAACAAAGTACATATTATTTTTTATTGACAATTTATTTTATAAATAATAATTAATTATTAAGCAAAATTGGACATTTACTTTTCCAGAGAATTCAACGTTAATTGAACCACACTCACGCCAATAACTATAAGTCTTGTTTCATCAAGTTTAAAAGGTTTTAAACTCATTTTACCAAATAAATAAATAATAATAATAATAAATTATTTGTTGTGACAAAATCAAATGCTGATCTTTGTCAGGAAGGATTGCAAAAGATCAATTATACAATTTTGGGTTAAAATGTACTTATAAACAGTAAGCATTAATACAATGATTTATCCTCCTTCAAAGTTTATGAAATGAACCTAAATATCTGTTTATTACTGTAGAAGAGTTGTCAAAAAACAACAACCATAAGTAAAAAAAAAAGTTCGCCAGTAATTTCTGTGACATTTATATTCTTAAACTTTATTATTTTGTGTTGTAGTAATAGGAGTAGCGATTCTTGTAATATTGCTTCTTCAAATCATACCTGTGATTTAATCATCTATAGAAGAAAAATATTAGGTAGAAGAGATGATTTAATGGTTTGAATAGTTTTTTTTTATAAAGTTTACAAAGGTATTAATTATTCCAAAAATTCCGAAAAATCTTTTTTAATCTACAAGTTCAATGAAACCATAATAATTAACATTATTTAAATTCTTCATCACCATTTAAATTGGTCAAATTATACTCATACTTTATCAACATCCGTCATTAAATGTAGATGATGTTCCTCCGTGGGATCCGCCTACAACTTTTAATTCCAGAAATATATTTAATGACGATGACGATGACAATATTGATGTTGGATAATTAAAAATGTTAATATTAAAAAAGAACTCTAGAACCTGAATTATCAACCACATCTAGAAGGAGGAAGAAAATCCCCATCATCGCAAGGAAGAATCATCGTCATCGTAATCATCTTTGTCAGATGCTTTGGAAAAATAAATCTAATATCAATATTTAACTCGGATGAATTACTCTCATTATCAGAGGCTAGATAATTTTCAATACTTCAACGAGATGATTTTAGACTTGCTAGTAATTACAATATGGTTAAATTTATTGAGCTAGGATACTCAAATACACCGAGATTAAATTTATATGATGAACATTATTACATGGCCAAAAAATAATTTCAGAACATCAAGAGAAATTACATTAAATGAGTAAGATTTTTTCAAATCAGTCCACAAGAATTCATGAAATATGTTTCGCCATTTAAGTGAATCTTACCAAAAGATATTATCAAAGACAACAAATTACCGGACACATGTCAATATCTTCTATTTATTTACCGCCAAGAATTCTTTCAACTGATATAAAATCGACTATAATAACTGGAAGACATGAACAATTATGTCGAGTCGTCGAATAATCCAATGTTAAACTATTGAGATTAAATTTATTATTTAGAGCATCCAGAGGTACTTTAACTCTGTAAAATTTACATTCAAGATGTCGTGATAAAGGTTCAATAATTAATTATATTAGCAAACATAATAATTTGAATTATGTATGTATTGTAGATGGTTATAATCCATCAAATAATGGTTTTGAAAATAAGAAATTATCATCTTCATCTTCATCTTCTTGATCATTTCATCATCATCTTCATCATCTTCTTCATTTCCATCTTCAACTTCTTCAACTTCTTCAACTTCAACTTCTTCAACTTCATATTCATCTTCATTTCCATCTTCAACTTCATCTCTGTTATTTAGAAACGAATCCTCCAAAAATAATAATAATAATAATAATAATAATAATAGTGATAGTAACAGTATTAATAATAATGATGATGATGGTGGAGATGATGATAATAGTTCAAAAGAAAAAGTCCGTTTAAAAACAGATGTTATCTGGAAAATAGTAGAAATTTTTTTTGAATTAGCAAAGTTATTTATAAATATATATATATATATATATATATGTATGTATGGTATGTATGGTATGGTATGTATGGTATGGTATGTATGGTATGTATGTATGGTATGTATGTATGTTCTAAATTGATAATATTGTCTGATTTGAGGTAGGGGATTAAAACGATCTTTTAAAAGCATGTTAAAATCATATCCCAATCCCAATCCATTATTACAAAATAAATTGACCACCTAATTTTGTTGAGGAGAAATATAGAATTCCAATATTCTGACAATCGTAAAATGATGAATCAGTTTTACTTTTTTGTTTTCATGTGTTGAAAAAAAATCGCTGTTAGGTAAACTTTACAACCAAATAAACAAGAGCAAAAGATCTTCCATAATAAAATAATAATTTATTCTTCAAATTTCTGTAATGATTGAAATATTTTTTTATAGCTACACCAAGATTGTAATAACTTCTATGTTTGTAATTTCATGTTTAGATTCGGCGTGTGAAATTAGAAAAACAATTCACAAATTGAATTTAAGCCCAAACAACTAAGTCAAAGCCAAGATGAAAAAAGGAATTACTTGAACATTCTGTATGGAGGCAATTAATATGACACTATAAATTTAATATCACAATCGCATTATAACTGTAATACAAATGTTCATATAATTAAAAAATATAACTAATTATTACCTAATCTAATATTATTAATCAATTTTTTTCACTTGACTAAAAAAATCAAAAATTAAGTAAACTATAAATTATCCTCCCATGGATCCTCCTGATTTTCTTCACCTTCAACGACCTCATTACCACCATTAACCTCATTACCACCATTAACCCCATCATCATCATCATCAATTATGATTGGTTGATGAACTTTCAATTGAAACATATACTTGTAATCATTAGGTATTAATGAACGATCCTTTGATCCAAATATATATCTTTGACCAAAAGACCATCTAGTTCTCACTATGATTTATAATGAATTTAGAAAAATTAAATATTTTCATATGTTATATATACATACAATTTATATAATTTATACAATATGTATACATATTTAAAAGAAACTTACAACATGTTAATCGATAATTGCTTCCATCTGCAATAAGATTTTCTCTTCTTGATATTATAAATGAAATCATTACTTTCTAAATTAATTGATAGAAACTTAGTTTTTCCATTTGTTTTTCATTGTAAACGAATTTTTTAATGTTATTATGGCATTATTAATTAATACTTTTATTTCTTCTTGTAAAGCAACATCTTCATAATATACTTCAGTGGTAATCAAATCACTGAAAAAAAACAAAGTACATATTATTTTTTATTGACAATTTATTTTATAAATAATAATTAATTATTAAGCAAAATTGGACATTTACTTTTCCAGAGAATTCAACGTTAATTGAACCACACTCACGCCAATAACTATAAGTCTTGTTTCATCAAGTTTAAAAGGTTTTAAACTCATTTTACCAAATAAATAAATAATAATAATAATAAATTATTTGTTGTGACAAAATCAAATGCTGATCTTTGTCAGGAAGGATTGCAAAAGATCAATTATACAATTTTGGGTTAAAATGTACTTATAAACAGTAAGCATTAATACAATGATTTATCCTCCTTCAAAGTTTATGAAATGAACCTAAATATCTGTTTATTACTGTAGAAGAGTTGTCAAAAAACAACAACCATAAGTAAAAAAAAAAGTTCGCCAGTAATTTCTGTGACATTTATATTCTTAAACTTTATTATTTTGTGTTGTAGTAATAGGAGTAGCGATTCTTGTAATATTGCTTCTTCAAATCATACCTGTGATTTAATCATCTATAGAAGAAAAATATTAGGTAGAAGAGATGATTTAATGGTTTGAATAGTTTTTTTTTATAAAGTTTACAAAGGTATTAATTATTCCAAAAATTCCGAAAAATCTTTTTTAATCTACAAGTTCAATGAAACCATAATAATTAACATTATTTAAATTCTTCATCACCATTTAAATTGGTCAAATTATACTCATACTTTATCAACATCCGTCATTAAATGTAGATGATGTTCCTCCGTGGGATCCGCCTACAACTTTTAATTCCAGAAATATATTTAATGACGATGACGATGACAATATTGATGTTGGATAATTAAAAATGTTAATATTAAAAAAGAACTCTAGAACCTGAATTATCAACCACATCTAGAAGGAGGAAGAAAATCCCCATCATCGCAAGGAAGAATCATCGTCATCGTAATCATCTTTGTCAGATGCTTTGGAAAAATAAATCTAATATCAATATTTAACTCGGATGAATTACTCTCATTATCAGAGGCTAGATAATTTTCAATACTTCAACGAGATGATTTTAGACTTGCTAGTAATTACAATATGGTTAAATTTATTGAGCTAGGATACTCAAATACACCGAGATTAAATTTATATGATGAACATTATTACATGGCCAAAAAATAATTTCAGAACATCAAGAGAAATTACATTAAATGAGTAAGATTTTTTCAAATCAGTCCACAAGAATTCATGAAATATGTTTCGCCATTTAAGTGAATCTTACCAAAAGATATTATCAAAGACAACAAATTACCGGACACATGTCAATATCTTCTATTTATTTACCGCCAAGAATTCTTTCAACTGATATAAAATCGACTATAATAACTGGAAGACATGAACAATTATGTCGAGTCGTCGAATAATCCAATGTTAAACTATTGAGATTAAATTTATTATTTAGAGCATCCAGAGGTACTTTAACTCTGTAAAATTTACATTCAAGATGTCGTGATAAAGGTTCAATAATTAATTATATTAGCAAACATAATAATTTGAATTATGTATGTATTGTAGATGGTTATAATCCATCAAATAATGGTTTTGAAAATAAGAAATTATCATCTTCATCTTCATCTTCTTGATCATTTCATCATCATCTTCATCATCTTCTTCATTTCCATCTTCAACTTCTTCAACTTCTTCAACTTCAACTTCTTCAACTTCATATTCATCTTCATTTCCATCTTCAACTTCATCTCTGTTATTTAGAAACGAATCCTCCAAAAATAATAATAATAATAATAATAATAATAATAGTGATAGTAACAGTATTAATAATAATGATGATGATGGTGGAGATGATGATAATAGTTCAAAAGAAAAAGTCCGTTTAAAAACAGATGTTATCTGGAAAATAGTAGAAATTTTTTTTGAATTAGCAAAGTTATTTATAAATATATATATATATATATATATATGTATGTATGGTATGTATGGTATGGTATGTATGGTATGGTATGTATGGTATGTATGTATGGTATGTATGTATGTTCTAAATTGATAATATTGTCTGATTTGAGGTAGGGGATTAAAACGATCTTTTAAAAGCATGTTAAAATCATATCCCAATCCCAATCCATTATTACAAAATAAATTGACCACCTAATTTTGTTGAGGAGAAATATAGAATTCCAATATTCTGACAATCGTAAAATGATGAATCAGTTTTACTTTTTTGTTTTCATGTGTTGAAAAAAAATCGCTGTTAGGTAAACTTTACAACCAAATAAACAAGAGCAAAAGATCTTCCATAATAAAATAATAATTTATTCTAGAAGACTTTGGCAATAAAATCATTTTAATTTTATTATTAAAAAAAAAAGTTATTGTTCGATTTATTATTAAATTGATCGTAAAATCTCAGTTTACTTTTTCTGTGATGTAATTCAAAACATTCAAAATTTTATTTTAATAAACATATAAGCTCAATAATATTAACACTTCTTTCTTTGAATTCACATCCATTTATTGCTATAAATCTTGCATATCACCTTCATGATGGATGCAATGAATCTAATAAAGATAACCCATTGAACATGAAAAATGAAACAAATCAGTAAATTGTATGAAGCATTAACTCAACAAATACCAAAAAGCCAATAACAAATCGTTGGTTATACCAATTAACAACAGCAAAACAACAGCTTGGAATGTCATAGGTTCACCTTAAATTTACTAATTGGTTCATTGAAAAATTAGAAGTTTAACCACAGTACCTCAGCCAGTACTTTCTGTTCAACCAGAACTATCAATACCACCGCTAATGCCAGTGTCAACAACAATCACAGTAGCGATATTATTATTTTAGTTATTGCTGCAAGTACTACCACCATCACTATGATGATTATGATGAATTCTGGATGTCTAATAATTATTAATGTCAATATGTAAAATCTTGGTTAAATTCATCAACTCTCCGTCAATGCATACAATCTCAAAATAAAAATCACTGCCACTTTTACCATCAAGTTCTGATAATTCTGAATATGTTGTTTAATAAATTATCGTTATGCAAGGTATTGAACATGTTTGTGTTTCAACTTATAGGATTGTAAATTTTTTTTTACACGTACACTTCTATCAATACTTGTAAATATTAAAATAAAAACACTACCATTTCTATCACCAAATTCTAATAAGGTTTTTAAAATGTTTGTGTTTAAGTTCATCAATCGTAAAATTCCCAAGTTGTTTTTTATACAAATCATTGTACGGCTCCCATCAATAATTGTGACTTTTGAGGCATTTTCATTCTCAAATTCTGCTGATCTTTTAAATAAATTATTTATATAAATCAATGATGGTTGAAGTTTATGATAATTATACGTTTGGATCATAAGAAATAAATAATTTGTATATTGATTCATTAACACCTTTATCATTACAATACTATTCCTCTTCTAAACATAAAAAAAATAAAATTAATAATTTTAATAATTAATTATATACTTATTATAACAGTTCCTTGAGGTAGGCTTTAGACTGTTTTCAAGAAATCTTGTTCAAAATGGAAACCTTCTTTTCGACCCTGGCTTGATGGCGAGGAGACACACTTACTTCACCGTACGTTAACTCGAATTTTTCTACTATACTAGGATCATAAAGAAATCGGATTTCAGCCGATAAGCTCTTTCATCAGAATCTCGTTGTTGTTCTTTTCTACTTTGTGATACAGTACTATAACTTTACTCCTCTAAAAACAGAATACAATAAATATTGCATATATTAAATATCTCATTTATTTTGCTTTTTAAAAAAATGATATTATTTGCTAATATTACCAATTTACCAAAATATTTTTCTCGAACCCAAATAACGAAGATGTAATGGAATCCATATGGTGCTCTGATGTTACTTCATTAAATAATAACAGTTATTGTTTCTTCTTTACATTGGTGTAAGTATCAACCGCGGTTTAATAAGACTGTAGTTAAAAATAAAAAATTTTATAGCTCGCATAGCATAATAAAATTCATTTTCTAAATAAATTTTATCGATTACTTTCCATATGAAAATATAGGTTT